GTTGCGCGCAAAGGCCTTGTCGTCCCGCGAGATGTAGTCTGTTGCCGTGCCAAACGCGTTAGAAAGCTCTCGACGGGCGTGGTACCGTTGCCCGCTGCGGGATCCTGAGATGCGTGAGACCTCCCTCTGCCGTGCGAGCGCAGAAGAAGAAGCCGGCTGTGGCTGACTGGTGCCGCGTCGGTGCCGACACTGCGCTAGACGTGCGGTTAGAATTGTTATGTGTGAATGTTTTTTTTGTTTTGTAAAAAAGTGTTCTTGCGTGCCTGGCGTGTGGTTGAGATTTTCGAGCCACTGCTTTTTCATCTTTGCTCGTTTGTTTTCTCTTGCGTTGTCTGGTCTGGCTAGTTGTTTGCTAAGCGTGCTTTTTGTGCAGCTGTGCGTGCGGATGCCCCGGCTTCATCGACTCGTGGCGGTGCCGCTGCTGTTGCTGCTCTGTTGGTTGCGGTGCTCCTTGGGCTTCGTGGAGCATCGCTGCACTTTCGACGAGCGGATGCGGAGTGCCGGTGCTTTGCCGGTGACGCGTGAGCTGCCCCGGAAGGGGCAGGGCGCGTGGGAGGCCTACACCGCCGGTGCGTCGTCGTGGGAGCCGATACGCATTAAAGCTTTCACGGAGGACATGAAGAGTGGGCTCCGCTACTGCACCGCCGCGGGAGACCTGCGTCCAGACTTTGAGGGCGGCATCGCGGTGTGCAGGGGGGAGCACGTCCTCACCCCAGAGAAGAAGGCGCTTCTCGTTGCGCAGCTCCTACCGGAGTCGATTCAGCTACACGCCAACCGCCTGCTCGTGCGCCCAATGGGCCTGTTCTTTGTGCAGCGGTTTACCGTTGGCGCCTGCGCCTTTTTCACGGTCCCCGAGGAGCACCACACGGTGGGGGTTGTTGGCGCCGACTTCGTCCTCTACGTTGCCGCCGGGCCGACGATGGGCGCCAATGTGGCGTGGGGCGCCCCGTGCTCCGTCACGGAAGAGGGGCGGCCCGTCGTTGGGGCGTTGAACTTTGGTCCGCAGCACATCTCTACGAAGCGGGGCCTGGCGCGCGCCGCCGCACACGAGATTGCGCACACCCTTGGCTTCTCCGCTTACCTCTTCGCCGAGCGCAGCATGGTCACCGCGCTGCGGAACGTTCGCGGCAAAGCCGCCGTCGTTGCGGTGTCCTCAAAGCGGACGCTTGCGGCGACGCGGCGGCACTTTAACTGCGCTGCCGCCCCTGGCATGGAGCTGGAGGACGAGGGTGGGGAGGGGACGGCGCAGTCGCACTGGGAGCGGCGCAACGCGAAGGACGAGCTGATGGCGGGCGTTGCAGGCGTCGGCTACTACACGGCACTGACGATGGCGGCCTTTGAGGACACCGGCTTCTACCGCGCCAATTGGGGCATGGAGGAGCCGATGGCGTGGGGCAACAGCACCGGCTGCGAGTTCCTGCAGGAGGCATGCGTGCAAGACGGCTCCACAAGGTATCCTGACATGTTCTGCACCGGCGTTTCCACGCACTTTAGGTGCACGTCGGACCACCTGGCGCTGGGGGTTTGCAGCCTGACCGCCTTCCAGCAGGCGCTTGCGCCGCCGTACAGGTACTTTGGGAACCCCGCGGTTGGCGCCCCTCAGCACGAGCTGACAGATCGCTGCCCCGTCATCGCCCCGGTCGCAGGCGGCGGCTGCACCACCCTCCTGAACACCGTCCCTGGGAGTCGCGTGGGGTCGAACTCGCGCTGCGTGGACGGCAGCTCGCTTCACGTCCACGCGGTGGAGGTTGGGGCGGTCTGCGTGGAGGTGTCGTGCGAGGGTCCGCGCACGCTGCGGGTGCGGCACGCCGGGGATGAGAGGTGGCACCTGTGCCCGGAGGGAGGCACGCTGCGGCCGGGCCCGCCCTTCACCGCCGGCCACATTGTCTGCCCAAAGTACGCGCGGGTCTGCGCCACGGTGGCTGGGGGCAGCGTCGCCGTCGTGGGCGAAGGCGACGCGGCGCAGCGCGTGCAGAGCTCCGCAGCAGACGACGCCCACCGCGACAACGTCTTCCGGCGCGAGGCATTCCCACAGCGGCGCAGCGTTGTGCAACGCGCCGAGGGGGATGCGAGCGGCGTCGCCGGCGCCCCTACCCTGCCGTGGCTGCTGCTGCTCTCTCTGTTGTGCGCCGTCCGCTAAGCGCTGGCGCCCCCACAGGGCGCTTGCGGTCCACCGGCCCACGCCGCCAAGGCGCCAGCCGCGAGGGCAGGAGCGCAGGATGCGACACAACCCTGTTCGTCCCCACTACGCCCTCCACGCAGCAAACGGGCTTCTCCCGCAGCTTTTGATACAAAGGACAGTTTTCCTTTGGGTTTTACGCTTTCTATGGGGGCCGGCATCCCGACCTTTTTCTACACGTGGGTCTTTTTTTTCCCCCTTTTGCTTCTCGTGCATGGTTGACAAACAAAACGCAAAAAAAACGTAAACAAAAACAAAGACAAAATACGACGCGTTGCACTGTGTACACCACCGAAATAAAAGTTTTTTTTTTTTTTTTGTCTGCAAAAGAGAGAGCGCGGCACAACAAAACAGGCGCATAAATTTTAATTTTTATCGGGGCAACTCGCCCTCGCCGCCGTATACACAGTATGGCTTTTCCACACCCACCCCACTCTCGTTTTGCTTTTCAAATGCGTGTTTTTTTTTTCGCTCTTCACTGGTAATGTAACGCTGCTGCTGCTGTTGTTGTTGTTGTGATTCACTGCCAAAACATGGGGGAAAAAATGCCCCCTCTTCCGGTCATATGCTTCGTTAATCGGATCTGTCCTTTCTCCTTTCACGATAACCGTTGACACAACTAGTGCAGTATAGTGCCCCTTGATGGCCGTACCTCCCCCTCCCTCCACCGTGCGAGCGCAGAAGAAGAAGCCGGCTGTGGCTGACTGGTGCCGCGTCGGTGCCGACACTGCGCGAGAGGGTGGCGAATGCCGCCTTTTTCTTTTTTCCCCCTTGCCCCTCTCTCCCTCTCTCTGCCGTGCAAGCGATGCGCGCGTGCGGCGCGAGTTTGTGTCCCACGGGGCAATCCGAGGTGCCCGTGTGCTGCGCTGTGCCGTGGCGGTGCCTTCTGGTAGTCCCGGAGATGAGGCTGTGGTGGGCGGCGCCCCCGCTTCTCCCCCACCCCCGCCCGCCCGCCTTGCGGTGCGGTGCGGTGCGTTGCGTCTGCTGCGTGATGATCTCGCTAACTGAGTGTACCTTTTTCGATGCGCCCTGCGCGGTGAAATGAGCACTGGCGGTTGGCTCCTTCCGGGGCCCCTCTGACGGCCCCCTCCCCCACGTCCGCAGCGGACGCACCAGCCCCGTGCAGACTGCCGTTGCGCGCAAAGGCCTTGTCGTCCCGCGAGATGTAGTCTGTTGCCGTGCCAAACGCGTTAGAAAGCTCTCGACGGGCGTGGTACCGTTGCCCGCTGCGGGATCCTGAGATGCGTGAGACCTCCCTCTGCCGTGCGAGCGCAGAAGAAGAAGCCGGCTGTGGCTGACTGGTGCCGCGTCGGTGCCGACACTGCGCTAGACGTGCGGTTAGAATTGTTATGTGTGAATGTTTTTTTGTTTTGTAAAAAAGTGTTCTTGCGTGCCTGGCGTGTGGTTGAGATTTTCGAGCCACTGCTTTTTCATCTTTGCTCGTTTGTTTTCTCTTGCGTTGTCTGGTCTGGCTAGTTGTTTGCTAAGCGTGCTTTTTGTGCAGCTGTGCGTGCGGATGCC